GGACTGATGTTTGTGTTTGGACTCATTGCCTGCCTTTCCACTATTGTCTCTGCTTCTGCCCCTGTGTATGACGAACGATCTGCTTGCTTCTCTGACTTTGACCCTCTGCCTGATTATCGACATCTGTTTAAAGCCTTGACCTTTAATAAACTTCCGCTCATGGATTCTAACCAACTCCAGCGTCTCTGTTACAGAGACACACATATCCAATCAACTACATTATTTACCTGTTTTATTTTTACAAAGACAAAACAATCCCTTTGAACTCTGCTATCCGACATAAGCTCGCGGGATATACGTACAATTAATTTAGTCTAGTCTTGTCACTTAGAGTAGATATAGCAAGAGAGTGAGCCATTTTGGGTTCAAGTCTGGTTTGGTCTGGTCTGGTCCGGTCTGGTCTGGTCCGATCTTAAAGTATGACATTAAGCATCATTAGACAACTATGGCCACGAGTTTAATTGTAATACCAACATAGATCAACGATTCAATATTTCCTGAAACCAAAGTTCAAACCAACAAGGTTTTTACTTTTTTATATATAGTTTTTTTTAAATTATATTTAATTATATTGTAACATCTATTACATTGGACAGTGTGTCTGTGTTATTACAATGAAGATTGTCACAATGCTGTAGCGAATCAGCTCATGGGGAAATATGAATAATTAATCATAACTAGTTATAATTAATTATAAATATTTAGATCCGCTGTAGATATTTACTTGACCTCAAATATGTAATTTCTCGTCATAGAAATATAAATTTTGTAGCTTAAACGTTTTATTTTCTGTTCACAAAATGTATTTATTTATTTATTTATTTATGATGGCATTCTTTAAGAGATTCACCAGATTCACTGTTTTTATGAGATTCACTAGGAAAGTTTGAAATATGTATATATATTTATGTATTTGTAACACTTCCCCTGACTTCACAATAGCAGTACCTCTCCTTAAGGATACAGGTGTGTTTGTAGCTGTTCTATCAAACACCACTTAAAAGATACATAGAAAGAGCAAGAGCAAGAGGTCAGAAAGATAGAGAGCAGGAGGTTGAAAGAGAAAGGGCAAAGATGTAGAGATTACAGAATGAAGTGTGTAGAAAGAAGGAGAGAAGAGGCGGAGAGTGTTGGAGTGAAACGTCCTCTCAGGCATTGTCCTGATGAAGATGGACGTGAGGCGGGAATGACTTGGGCTGCAGGTAATTATGTTAGTATTTCTAGCTCGCCCAATAGGCATCAATAGATCAATTTCAGCAATCTCAACCGATCCAGCATGACTGATCTGACCAAAAGTTGTCTGTAAATGAAGACATTTTAGAATGGGTGCATCTCTGTCTCTACGACTGTCACAGTTTGCCTGATTTAAATAATGTTACCTAAAATGCTACACTGTTAAAAACTCTTGTCATTTAGATCAAATTCTTTTCATTTAAAAAAATGCATGTAAAATTGCTACAGTAAATATATTCATTTTTACAATAAACCTGTTATTTTATATAGTTTGTAAAGTTAAAGACTGATGTTGGTTCAGAATAGACATGTAATAAGAGACAGACAAGTGAAAGACAGGGATGCAAAGTGGGTAGAGACAGACTGGTAGAGGAGAGACAGAGAGAGAGTATATTGCGGTAAATGACAGGTTAGAGCAGGGACACTGATAACCTTCCTGGGTAAAAGCTTCCTCTCCTTCCTTTGGCATTTCGTCAGACCTTCCAATTACATTGACAGGCCGTCCCAAGATCCAGCATCTGATGTCCCCTCGATAAACGCAATTATTAATTAACCAGCACAATTAAATCTACCATGATGGACGGGATACAGGACAATTAGAGTAGGCAGAGCTGACTGATGTAATCATGGTTACAGTGAGTCAGCAGACACACATACACACACACACACATACAGTCCAGCCACAGGTACATGCAGGAACATATTTGGCTGAACTGCTTGAAACAAAAGCCCACCCCCCTCCCTTCCCAGTTCTAAATACCATAATTTTTGTTTTGTTTTGGTGTGTTGTGTCTTGTTGTGTTGTATTGTATTTTTTGTGTTGTGTTTTGTTTTGTTTATCAGTTGTGCTTTTTTTGTATCTTGTTTTGATGTTGTGTTTTCTGTTATTGTTGTTGTCGTGTTTAGTTGTGTTGGGTTTTTGTATTGTTTTGCCATTGCATTGCATTTTGTTTTGCTTAGTTGTGTTGTGCTGTGATTTTTTTTTTGTGTGTGTGTTTTGTTTTGTTGTTTAGTTGTGTCGTTGTTTTTGTGTTGGGTTTTTTATTTTAATAAAATTTTTAATGAATGTTATTTATTTTATTTTTTATTTTTTTGGTTTGTTGTGTTGTGTTGTGTTTTTTTGTTCTGTTTTCTTTTGTTAATTTATTTCCTATTATTCTAAATTGAAATTAACTACCTAGTCTCATGGCAAAAACGTACCTGGGGGCACTTTTTCGCGAGACGCGAAATACGTAGGCACATATCCAGCTTCATATCTATGGGTTTTCATAGACGGGAGGTTTGTTCGGTAGCTCACGGAGTATGGAGATGTAGCCTACTTGAGAGGTGAGGAGCCCCGGTTCAAATCCCTTGTAACTATGGTTTGACTAAACAGTTCAAATCTGCATATAAGGAAGTTCAAATGGCACGGTTTCATCAACAAATGCGTTTTAGATCAGTTTTGCATTTGTTAACACTATCTGGTAGGTTTAGGGTTGGGTTTGGTGTAGAGCATATTTCCAACATGATAGAGCATTAAAGGGGTCATATGATGCGATTTCAATTTTTCCTTTCTCTTTAGAGTGTTACAAGCTCTTTGCCGTTCTCAAGCCCACCGGCCTCTGCTCACTCAAGCCGGCCTCCACTGACTCAAGCCCACCGTGTGTGACGCTGTATGTTTTGTTGTGAAAGCGAAACTACTTTGTTTGGCCTTCCAAA